ACCTACCTGAAACCTACCCGTCGAAACAGGTTTCTCAATTTTTGAAACTTGTAGGTTCCAGGTTCCCACTGGTCAGGCTCTCAGGTTTCAGGTTTTACCCTGAAGCCATACTCACCCCTAGTTCCCTACCTCTTTTGAATAAATTAATAAAACATTTAAAGAAGAAATGGAAAAAATTGTGGGCAGTCATACATTATGGCCCGGTTATGGGTAGAACGGAAACCGGATCGGAACTGGCTGGTTCCGAAACTGAGTCCGATTCAAAGCCACATGGTTGATTTTCGGTTTTAGGACGAGAATCACCCATAATCAAAAGTAATCTTTCTTACTTTCCCGTCAAATCTAAGGTATTACTCAAATTTTAAAAGATTGCGAAAGTTCTTGTTTTTTAAAAATATTACTACAATACTTCTAAATTAAGAAAGTCAGTATGCGAACTTAGCAATGTCAAAATTGAATATGTGAACAGATATAACTAGTGAAAAAGATTCCTATTTTCAAATTTCATAAAATACATATTTGGACTCATCCACAAGGGCAACCGGTTGCCATGAACTTGTGAAAGAAATTTGTGATCAACAAGTATCCTTCATTCTTAAAAAACAACGGAGGCCGTTACAATAGCATTTAAATAAAAAAGGGATGCTCAAGAGCAAATATAATTTTACCTTTCTTTAAAAGAATTCGGGCTTTCGTTCAATCTTTCCCATCTACTTTATATGTCTTTCTATTTGGGATAAAAACAGTAGAAGTGCTAGAACTTTGTATGGTGCTCACTTAAGTGTCATAATTTTTTTTTTCGCTCACTTAAGTGCCACATCGGAGTAAAATTGATCATCTGAGTGCCATTTCCGACAAACCCTCCGACGTGGATTTTTCTTATTAATTTTCCATTCCGACGTGGATTTTTTTTATTTTTGAATTTTTTTATTAATTGTCCACGTCAACGTCAACAATGCCATGTCGGATTTTCTGGTGAGGCAAATCGCTGATGGCATTTAAGTGATCGATTTTTCAAATTTGTGGCACCCAAATGAATGCCGCACGAAAGTTATGGCACTCCTAGTGTACTTATTCCAAAAATGCTTATACATGTGTCTATTTAAGGAGTGATTATTTAAATATTTGGAAAAAATTATCAATTTAGTCCTAAATTTATCGTATGGATGTCAATTCAATTTTAACTTTTCAATTTTGTTAATATAGTCCGGCAAATTTGCACGATATTTAAACGTAGCCTTTCTTGCCAATTGCCGTCGCAAATTGCGATGTGAAAATCAATAAATTGCCATCCTAACTGTCCACTTAGGATGGCCGGCCATGACTAAATGACACGTCAGAGAATTTTTGTGGCAATTGGTGGGAAAGATTACATTAAAAAATCACTCAAAAGTTTAGAACAACATTGACAAAATTGAAAAGTATGGCTCATTAAGTGGAATAATTAATTATTGATAAGAAAATTATGATAATTGTAATTGCAATATAAGACAATCCAATCAAACCATTGGCAAATATATATTTTTTGTCAATTCTAAATGTATTAGAATTTCTAAAGAAAGAAAAGAAAAGAAAGGTAAGAAATAATTTTAAATCTAGACCTGCAAGAGATATTATGGTTAGTTTAAGGTAATAGGGGCGTCGAAAGTCAAAAAATGGATGGAAAAAGGCCTTTATGCGTTTATCCTTTTCACATTATTACTCATTTAAATGTTAAACCTAACCTACTTAATTATATTTAAGTTGATGCGAGTAAAATAATGAGAGTGTATGATGGGTTTCTAGAATCAAGGGTTGTATGGCGGTTGAGAAAAAGGAGAGTCAAATGATATAATTTATAATTAATACTTCTTATGTATCAGTACATAATAATAGTTTTGATGATATTTTAATTTTGATCTTTGTTGAAAATTAAATTTAAAATATAATGGGCCTCATTTATGAGAAGTACCTAGTTTTATAAATATGGTATCTACTTCTATTAATATGTTTTATGAAGAATTAATTAGGGTTAATACCACGAAAAACCTTAAACCGGTACACCTGTGACAATTTTACCTCGAACTAATTTTTTAACTACCAAAAATCACAAACTGATACACCTGTGATAAATTTACCCCGAACTATTTTTTGGACCAACAAAAACTCCATATTGGTACATTTGTGATAATTTTACCTCGAACTATTTTTTTTACCACTAAAAATCCCAAACTGGTACACTTGTGATAAATTTACCCCTAACTAATTTTTTGACCACTAAAAATTCCAAACTAGTACATTTGTGACAAATTTACCCTTTGTTATTGTCCGTTAAATTGGATTAATATCACAAAAAATCATAAATTGGTAAACTTGTGACAAACAAAGGGGTAAAACCTCAAATTGATATACCCGTTAATTACAACGTGTCATCAAACTTAGCAATTTGAAGGTAAAATTTAACGGAAACTAACGGAGGGTAAATTTATCACATGAGTACCAATTTTAGATTTTTAGTAGTTAAAAAATTAGTTCAGAATAAAATTATCACAGATATACCAGTGTAGGGATTTTGGTAGTAAAAAAAATAATTCGGAGTAAAATTGTCATAGGTATACCAGTTTGGGGTTTTTTGTGATAAAAAAAATAGCTTGAGGTAAATTTGTCACATGTGTACCAATTTGGGGTTTTTGATAATATTAACCCAATTAATTAATGCAAGGCATTCATCTACGTGGGACCCTTATGGTAAAGTTCAAAAGGAATTGCATTGATTGGCCCTCCCCAACCTTTTTGCTTATCAATAAAAATGTTTTGGATAATTCCAATAGGAGTGCCATAACTTTCGTACGGCGCTCATTTGAGTGCCATATAAGAGTAAAATCGATCATTTAAGTACCATTCCTGGCAAATTGTCCTACGTGGATTTTTTTTTATTAATTTTCCATTCCGACGTGGATTTTTTTATTTTTGAATTTTTTTAATTAATTATATGATTCTAATACACATTAATTCTCGGGCCTTCCCTTTCTTTCAATTCTTTTTTTTTTTTGATCCCTTTGACAACTTACTCGAACAATTATTCAACAGAAAATCTAAGAGAAATTTTAGAGAATGTTTGCTGGCGAGATTTTGGTTAGATCGTTGGATCATCCGCTGATACGGAATCCGTTGCTATTGGACTTGGCAATTTTTGGATATCAAACGGACCTCCCCTATCTTTACTACCTATCCAACCCGAATCAGATTTTTTTAGGAACATATCGAGAGAGAATTGGATTTGGTTTGCAATCAGGTTCCCTCCAAGATTGTATGGTTGGGATGTCCATTTGATCATAGCCTACCTTTTTTATCCTTAAACCCAACGTCAGCATGGACGGTGCCACGTAGGACGATCGACGTCCACGTCAGATTTTCCGGCGAGGCAGATCGCTGATGCCACTTAAGTGATCATTTTTTTCAAATTTGCGACACCCAAGTGAGTGAAAGAAAAAATTATGGCACTAAAGTAAGCGCCATACGAAAAAAGTGAGTGAAAAAAAAAGTTATGACTCTCAAGTAAGCGCCATACGAAAATTATGGCACTCATACTGTCCTTATCCCCTTTCTATTTCTTTATAAGATTAAAGAAATTCAAATAGTAAAAACTTCCATTAACATGTTTTTATGATATGCGTGAGCTACTACCTCATAAACTCATGATTATATGGAAGTAATCACTCATTTAACAATGATTTTCACATTAACCTTGCACGCAACTAAAGTAATTAAATTTTGTAAAATATATATTCAGAGTCCTCCAAGGGTCGAACCACGTGCCATGGACTTGTGAAAGAAATTTGTGGTCCACAGGTCTCCGCGATTCTCAAAAATGAAAAGGACCGTTACCATAGCACTGCCCCCCCTTTTTTTTTTTTTAAGATTGAGATGATGACTTATCGAAATCTAACATCATTTATTTATCTTTATTTTAAATTCAGGTACATGCTAAAGTTGGTTGTTAATGACGACAATAGAAAAGCATACCTCAGATTGTTTGAAACAAAGAAAAAAAAAACATTGGTCACTGTCTACTTGAGTTTGTAAAATTAAAAAATACTCAGAAAATATTGAATGAGAACCAAAATTATTTAGAATAAGTTAAGTAAATTTTTTCTCCAGAATCATAATTAAAAAAAAATACTAAATTGAATAATAAATAGATCAGTGCAAAAAAAAATGTCAAAGTTAAGAAGAAAGTGAAAATTAGAAATACTACTAACAAGCTGGTTGAGGACGAGAACCACGTACACTGTCTCCTTGATGATCGGCAGGAGATCAATGGAAGGAAATAAACGGGGAGTCTTCGGTTTCTCAACATTGCTAGGAGCTAATGCGACATTGACGTCGATCCCAACGTGGTTGTCATTGACATAGCGAAATTCAAGGTTTTTGATTGTGTCAAATTCTCTATCAGAAGCTAAAAGCGAACTGGTAACCACGCAGAGGTGGATATTAGTCACATTGAAGAAGAACGTTGCGGAGAAAGAGTAGACAGATCCACTGGATGTGTTATTGAACTTGATTGGGTCAGGGTATAGAAGGCATGACTCTACTTCTGTTTGGTTGCGTTGGTTACTTTTTGGAGGCCATTGCCAGTGAATGCGGCTAAACCATATAGCCTAAGATTGGCTGATCGGAGATGTTGAAATTGCTGGTATCGTGAGCTAGTACAAAGTTTGCTGGGGGAGAAACCGCCAGATCAATCACCAAGAACATGTCCAGAAGCTGGACAAATTCACTGAATACACTACTCAGAAGATATCGTTTGAATTTCCAAGGGTCAAATTGAATCTAACGCAATTTCAGCTATCGGTATCCTGACTTGTGTCACTATATTCTCAATGAATAAAAATTCACGTGTCAATGGTGAATATATGTTAGGGACCCGACTGTTAAATCATGCAAGCATTCAAACAAACAAGTAATAATCGTCATATAAGGTGGACTTGCTCTTATACTCTGGAGGAGGACCAAAAGGGGAAACCAAAAAAGAAGGCAATTTACGCTAATGTGGACATTCCCAAGAACATGTAAGAATATACTGCAGAAATTGGTTCGATCCACAGAATCTTAAATTACAGGTTACATATACTTGCAAAGTTGCAAACTACGAATACTTGACGCATGAGAACACTAGTTTGACAATTACTTCGATCTATGAAATGTGCTATTTATTTATATAACAAGCTTAAGACTCATCTTCCACCAGAGAGGAGAGAATTTGCGACGGAAGATGTTGCGAAAGGCGGATTAGACATGGTAGACTTACTAAAACCTTCATGATATGCAAATGTCAATCCGCTTTTTGAAACACCAAGAGATGATAACTCCTGCATTGCGAGATCCCCTTCCAAGTACTGCACTACATGACGCATGCTTGGTCTCGCAGTTGGCTCAGAATGGGAGCACAACAATCCGAGTTGCAACACTAGCTCCACCTCCTTCGCCACAAAGTCCACCCCTAAATTCGGATCTCTTGCCTCTAGAATGTCACCCTTATCCCAGCAAGAAAACACCCAGTCCACCAATATCACGTCCTCCTCCCCCCGAGCCTCGATCGGCCTTCTACCACAAGCAACCTCGAGCAAAAATGCCCCGAACGCGAAAACATCCGTGCTCGTAGTGGCCCTGGCAGTTCGAGTGTTCTCCGGGGCCAGATATCCAAGAGTTCCCACCACATGGGTGGTTTGAGGATCTGTACCGTGATCGTATAGTCTTGCAAGCCCAAAATCTCCTAACCTCCCATTTAGTTCTGAATCAAGCAAGATGTTGCTAGCTTTGATGTCCCTGTGAATCACTACTTGTTCCCATCCTTCATGGAGATAAGAGAGGCCATATGCAACACCTTTGATCACTCTAAATCTTTGGGTCCAACTGAGGATCACCTTTGGTTGGTTATAGAGGTACTTGTCTAGGCTTCCATTTGGCATGTAGTCATAAACCAACAGCAGCTCACCCTTCCGACGACAGTATCCAAGAAGCGTCACAATGTTCCGATGACGAAGCCGACCAATACTAACAATCTCAGCGATGAACTGTCTCATCCCTTGCCTTGATTCATGAGAAACCCTCTTTACCGCAATCTCAGTTTTTGAGGTGGGTAATACCCCTTTATAAACTTTACCAAATCCACCGGTTCCTAATAGCTCCTGATCCCTGAACCCCTTTGTGGCAACATAGAGATCTTTATACTTGAACCTCTGCGGACTGTAGTCGCGCTCCCAATCCTCGAGAACCTCTGCAAATTTCCTTCTTTTTCTTATTGCATAAGCCACAGCAAAGACTAGTATTGACAGAAAGAATAAACATATGAAAGGCAGTCCAGTAGTGAGAGGAATGGATTTCTGCTTCTTTTTCATATGGGGTAATCTAGGAAGTTGAGACAAATCAAGCCTATGAGCTTGTCCATTTACCTTAAAGCTCCATCCGAGGATATAATTAGAAGCTAAGAGCAAGCCGGTTGAGGAAGAGAACCCAACGTACATGGTCTCTTTGAAGATCGGCGAGAGATTGAAGGACAGAGACAAAAGGGAAGTGTTCGGTTTGTCGACATTGACCGGAGCTACTGTGACCCTGATTTGTTTCTGCATACCATCATAATCCACCCAAACTTGCATCGCTTTACCACTACTCAGACTCAAGTTTCTGAAGCCTTGAATGTTGTTTGCAGTGTATCCAGCAGGGGAAGATTTGACAGAGTCCAGCCCATTGACATCGATCCCGACATGGTTGCCGTTGATATCATGGATTTCGCTGTTCTGAATCTTGCCAAACTCCACCGCAAAAATGTGGTTCGTGGCGTTGCCATCGTTTGTTTCGTTGAAGAGACCAAAGTGATAACTAGGCTGAGCTCCGGGAAATTCTCTACGAGGAGCCACCACGAAGGTGAACCCAGGACCGCCCAGATCTGGATGTTCGGGAATTATAGCGAAGACGAATGTGGTGGAGAACGAGTGGACAGCGCCATCAGATGAATTCTTGAACGTGATGGGGTCCGGGTAGAAGGCATGACCCACCTTCTGTTTGGTCCCATTGGTTAACTTCAGGAGGCCATTGCCAGTGAGTGTAGCTAAACCATCGAGGCTCAGATTCGCAGACCGGAAACTGTTGTACGTGAAATCGCCAGTTTCGTGACTTGGTGTGGTGTTTGCCAGGAGAAAAACCGCCAGAACAATCATGAATAACATGGCCAGAGTCCAAAGAAATCAGCTGAACAGACACTGCTATGGTGAGAAAATAATTTGAAGTTCCTATAATGATCCAAACGGTTTGCAGCAGCATGGAATCGGCCCTCGTGCAATTTCAATTATCAGCATCCCAACTTGTGCACCGCTAACAAACATACGACTGGCCTTTCGGATGATGAACCCTCTGCCCTGTATTTAATTGATTGCTCTCCATCTTATCAGCAACTAAAAGTTCTTCTGTGATTTGCCCGTCCCTGTACACCATACACGACATTTCATTAAATGGCCGAAGTTGCCCAAGGCATCCGTCAGCGCAAGTAGATGTTACGTCGTGGTCTGTAGGTCATCAACGAGTCAATACCTGATGATGTGCGATGAAGGATAATGCCCCCATAAATTTCAACAGTGTGTTTACCATCATTTATGACTCTTCTGCGATACCGAGATTGTCAGTACATAGAGTAGGAGAGCCTAATAATTTCATCTCTGAGAACAAAGTGAAATTCGGTGTGTTTAAGTTGGACGTGTGAAAGAACCCATACAAGAGAGATGAGTTTTGAAAGAAATTAATGTAACCTAATTGATTCAGGATTTATCATAGCTTTTGAGTAAATGCAAATCTAACTTAATATATTAATATAGAATGATACTTGAATTTAATAATTTAATTGGTCAATCAATCAGCCTCTGTTGAACTTTAACTACTAATTGAAATCATTGAGTTTTTTGCTACCACGAACTTACAAAATTTTATGTAACAGGATAAAATCCTTATAGTGATGCCATAAATTGAATTTAAATTTGTCATCTATCGACTAACTTTCTTTCCCATATTAATTTTCATTTTTATCACTCTCTCCATGCAAATTTTAATTTGTTTTCTTCTTTCCTTTAACACACACAGATGCAGTTCCGCTAGTTATTGGAGAAAACAATTTACTTCTTCCAAATTGCTCCTCAGATATATAATGAAATGAAATTTCAAGGGACTTGTACAAAAGCTCTAAGCAACGTTAAATTATTAATTTGACCAAAAAAAAGGTTAAATTATCTATGCTTTTATGAGAATAGACTAATCAACTGCCACTTAGAATTTTCAACCTCTGTTCTATGGCCATCTCTTTTTCTACTTCTTTATTAATATTTTCTCGCTTTTTCCTAGCAATTTCATGGTCCACAAACCAGGGCTACAATTGGCATCCATCGGCGAATCTACTGCTCACCAGATTCCACGTTAGACATTCTCATTTAAGTATGCTGTACAATGACCACTATGATCATGCCATAACCTTCTAAGTGAACGTATGGAAAAAGGAGAAAAAATTATCCGATCCATTGTAAAATTATTGTACGGATGTCAATTTGGTTTAAAATTTTGAATTTTACAAATTTAATTCTAAATTTTTGTGCGAAAGTTCAATATAGTCATTTTGACCAATTTTCGCTCAAAAATTATTGACGTGGCAATCCAGTCATTATCAGCTGTTTTACATAGCATACCACCACATTTCCATGCACGACCATCCAAATTTTTTAAATCCCATTTTACCCAAAATAATTATTATGTCTATTCACATAATGATTTATCATAATTTCCCCCAAAAAGCAATCATGGATCTTTGCTTTGCTTCAAGCAATTCCGCTTTGAAGCTAGCTAATACACACACGCGCGCGCGCACACACACACACACACACATATATATATATATATATATATATATATATGTATATGTATGAAGGGGCTATGGAGAAGATCATGAATAATGCCCGAGACAAGTATGATATCCCACAAACACGGATATCTCATCTCATAATTAGGGATTGCCTTTTAGTCTCTAGGCACTATGAACCTGCTCCATATAATCTTGAGTTCCAGATGCTTTCTTCTTCACATGATCCATATACTCTTAAGTTTCAGAGTGACAAGTGGAGAGAATACTCACAACCAGATCATTAAGCAAATAGTATAATTCTAAACCTAAGATAGGATCACATCGGGAAAGGAAAGAGGAAATTCAAAGAGACATGATGAAAGGAGCCTTCAAGTGTTTTTGTAAGAAACTTGGTCTTATTCCAAAACTGAGACTTCTTACCCTTTTACGGGCACTGCTAAGGGTATTACAGACCTTTCGTACAATCAGAATAGATGAATCAAAGTCACATGCATGTGTCTCACAGGATGCTTTACAAAACATACTCACACTGCTAACTCATACTATACTCTGAAAAGACAAAGTTACATTACAAGATGCTTTACAAAGCATAGTCATACACCATGGCCAAAGCCAAAGGCTTTGGTAGTATAGTTACAGGTCTGCAAGGTCACTTTTTAAAAGTTGATGTTTTCATCATTGTGTTCTTTTAAGAATATTTCACGCATTACTCTCTTTATGGACCTTTTCAAAGTCTTCTGGGATCACTTCTACTCAAGAACCCATCTTGTAAGTTAAAACCAAATCTTAAGTTTAGCCCCTTTAAACACTTTCTCATTTCTCATTAAAGTCAACATGATATGTGAAAATCATCATAGTTACTAAACTTCACGTCTTTGCAATAAATAAAAATGAAACAGAAAAAATGAGTGGGCCGGTTCTTAGGCCGATCTTGGAAGCGGCCGAATCTGGACATTTGAGTAGCAATGGGTTGATGTCTTTCCGGATGAACGTGATTAAGGGATAAAAAAGACTTTTATAGGAAGTTAAAATGTTATCTGCACAATTGCCTAGGAAATGTTATTTTCTATTAATAATAGAAGGAAATGGAGGGAAAATGGAGCAACAAATCGTGCAAAACTAACACTTGTCTAGGGAGATGTTTCTATGGGTCCCACAAAAATTTAAAAGGAATTGGGGTGCGTTTGGCAACTTGCCAAATAGTAATTGATTTTGTTCTTTTGTTCCCAGAATCAGTTTGAAAATAAAAATTCGTTTATTAAATTTTTTGTGCCTGGGCACAATTTTGCAAAAAATTATGTCCAAAATCAGTTTTGGAACAGAATCAAGAAGCAAAAAAAAGTAGCTTCTTGATTCTGAAATAATTTTTTCGAAACTGATTCTTCTTGGTTTTCTTCTTTTTTTTTTTTTTTATTGTTGTTCTTTGGCCCAGCCACCCGTTGGCCACTGCCCCAGGCCAGGGCCGGCGAGGCCTTACCCAGCCAAGGCGAGGCCGACCTCGCCGTCGTCACCCAGGTTCGTCGCGACCGGCGGCGAGGGCCGCGACGCCCTCGCCGGCCCTGGCCTGTGGCCGGTCGTCGGAGCTTGCGGCCGGCCATGGCCAAGGAAGGGAGGGGAAAGAAAGAAAAAAAAAGAAAAAAAAGAAATATTAAAAAATTCAAAATATTATTAATAAAAAGAAATTTTGTATAGTTACCAAACGTATTTCTGTTCTTTTTCTATTCTAAGAATATAAATTTTGGGCAGTTACCAAATGCCTTCAAATGCTTAGAAATTGTTTCTAGGCACGGAATCAAAAAAAATCATTTCTGCCCAAAATATATTTCTAGGCACAGAATAGTTGTCGCAGCCTGGGAGTGCCTCAGTTTCCAACCTCTTTTGAATAAATTAATAAAACATTCCAAGAAGAAATGGAAAAAGTTGTGGGCACTTGTGCATTGTTGGCCCACTTCCGAGTATAACGGGTATTGGACGGTTCCAGAATGGTTCCGAAACCGATTTGTTCAGTTCGAAGCCACAAGGTCGGTTTCCGGTTTCAGGCCGTGATTCACCCCCAAAAAAAAGTAGTCTATCTTACTTTCCTGTCAAATCTAAAGTATTGCTCAAATTTTAAAAGATTATGAAAGCTCTTATTTTTGAAAAAATATCACTAAGATACTTCAAAATTAAGATAATTGTTTCGACAAAGAAAAAGTCAAAATTGAATATATGACTGGATATGACTAGTGATAAGGATTCCTATTTTCCAATATCATAAAATACAAATTTGGATTCATCCACAAGCCCAATCGATTGTCATGGACTTGTGAAAGAAATTTCTGGTCAACAAATATCCATCATTCTAAAACACAATGGAGGCTGTTACCATGCTTAAAAAAAAAAAAACGACGCTCAAGAGAAAAGATATTCATACCTTTCTTTAAAATAATTCAGGCTTTCATTCAATCTTTCCCATCTACTTTATATGTCTATCTATTTCTTTATAAGATTAAAAAAATTCAAATAGTCAAAACTTCCACTAACATGTTTCTATGATATCCGTAAGCCACTACCTCATAAACTTATGATTATATGGAAGTAATCACTCATTTAACAATGATTTTCACTTTAAACTTGCACGCAACTAAGGTAATTAAATTTTATAAATACATATTTAGAGTCCTCCACAAGTCCAACCACTTGTGAAAGAAATTTGTGGTCCACAAGTCTCCGCGATCCTCAAAAATGAAAAGGACCGTTACCATAGCACTACCCTTTTCTTTTCTTTTTTTTAAGATTGAGATGACGAATTATCGAAATATAACGTCATCTATTTATCTTTATTTTAAATTCAGGTACATGCTAAAGTCGGTTGTTAATGACAACATTAGAAAAGCATACCTCAGATTGTTTGAAACAAAGAAAAGAAAACAAACATTGGTCACTATGTACATGAGTTTGTAAAATAAAAAAAAAATACATGGAAAAGATTGAATGAGCACCTAAATTATTTAGAATTAGTTAAGTACAATTTTTCTCCAGACTCATAAATTTCTTCAAAAATATACTAAATCGAAAAATAAATAAATCAGTGCACAAAAAAATGTCAAAGTTAAGAAGAATGTGAAAAATTAGAAATGCTATAATGATTGGTACAAGAAAAAAAAATTCGATCCTACTTTGCAAATCTCCCGATGTATTACTGGCAGTGTATATTCGCTACAAAATATGATCGTTTGCAAATCTCCTCGTGTATTACCAAAGTTGGCTTTTGAGGACAACAATACAAAAGCGTACCACACATTATTTGACAATTGACACAAAACAAAAAAAAAAGAAGATAAAAAACAGTGGTCGTGCTGTACGTAAGTTTGTAACATCAAACGATAAGGTATAGCCCTTTATACTATGATTCACAAACTTAGGAAATACTTTACAAGTCATAGCAAGAATATCGATTGTTTCAAATATATAAAAAAGTTAATGACACATGCTTTCAAGTTCCTTCGTAGAATACCTTTTGAAGGATATACGAGAATATGATTTGTCTTTGTCACAAGA